GAAGAAACTTCACCCACCAAAATGTCCAAAGTGGCGGCCGCCAGTGGAGTCGGAACCTCGACGGGATCAGAAAGTTGCGGAGCGGGGCCGGCTGAAGACCTCTGCAAGGTGTCAGATGAGGAGCTGCTGAAGTGGAGCAAAGAAGACCTCATTCGTAGCCTTCGTAAAGCTGAGGCAGAGAAAGTGAGCGCCATGCTGGACCACAGTAACCTCATCCGGGAGGTCAATCGCCGCCTGCAGCTGCACCTGGGCGAGATCCGGGGACTCAAGGTAAAAGGACATTTACAGGCTGGGATGGAGGAGAAAATAGTGGGGTGCCAAAGGGAAGCAAAGGCGGGCTGAGAAGATCTGGTCCTTGCAAATCAGCTTTGAGCCACTGTGTAGCCCCTTGTAGAAAGTCCAGGGCCATCTCCCCATATCACTTAATCATGGCAGGAGCAGCAATAACAACATGGCTTAATTTTCCCTGTCCTTTTATACCGGGGTAACGAAGAAAGGTGGGGCAAACTAGGTAGAGATTTTGCTATAAAAGGTTTGCGTGTGTGCTTTTGTTCTGGTCCTCAAAACAAATCCCTAGATTTAAAGTTTGTTTTCCCCTTCTGAAGTTCTCCATGTGCACTGGGACTCCAACATTCAGAAGTCCCAGCCAGCATCCTGGGAATAACAGCCCCAGGACTAGGTTAGGAAAAGTTGCTGAATGTTGGATCTTGGGATTCTAGTAAAATGCAAGTAGGCCCCACAAACCTGCCTACCCCTACGCTAAGGCAGATCTTGGTTGTTTTGGTGGGTATTGTGCAGGAGAACTTCCCTATTGATTTAGCCTCATGAAGTGAGTCTTTTTTCTTTCACTATCACCTGTAATTATATATAAAAAAATAACAACTTTAGATAGCTCACCATTGTCTTTATCTCCTTGCCAGAAAAGGTTTGTTTGGACTCAGACCCAGATAGTAGACATAATAGTAGTACGTCTCTTGAGCGTTTGCAAGGTACACTCTGGTTGCACCATGAGCAGCCTCGTGCTAAATATACCTCTTGGTAGGAAAAATATGAAATACCAAGATTTTGATTATCACATGTGATGAGTATACATGCAGATATTTATTTCATTGCTTGGTCAGTATAAGGAGTGGAATGGTTCTTTGCTTGCAAACCTATATCCAATTTTATTTATTAGTTTACACTGCCAGACTAAAAAAATGATTCAGGGAGGTTTACATCCTAAAAACATAAAACACGCTAAAGAAACCTAAAATCAAGATAAAATACAAATTTACAGTTTTGTTTTCATTGTGTGTCTCTGTGTTACACAGTGAAATTCACATAACTGTGATTGTTATGCACTACAGAGAAATGCTTCTGTTGATGTAAAGCCCTAGTTTCAATTTGTAGCCTGTCCAGTCCAAAAATACTTGAGCAGCACAGCTTGGAAAGATACCCTGTTGAGATCAGGCAGAGCGGAACAGTTTACTGACTTACTACAGTTGTTTATATCATGGCTCCCAGGATACAGATTCTTCCAAGGCAGTCTATAAGTAGCAGAAAGATACTCTTTACTGCAGTTTTAATTAATGTATTCAAACAATGAAGGGTCCTTCCTACTAGAAAGTCAGTGTAGAAGGCCCTGTGGGAAGAGCAGAAGGAAGCTCTGTAATGATATCTTCCCTGAGCCCTGCCTCATCTCCTGACTCTTTTTTATAGTGATTACGGGTAGGTACCCCTGTGCACGGAAAGGCAAGCCCAGTTGGAGCAGGCACCTGATCTGATCATAACTATCCCCTCAAAAGTCCTTACAGGTACATAACTAGCTGGATTTTGTCTTAAGCCATTTCTGCATTAGTGGTTTATAAAGGCTTCTAGCAACTTCCAGCCATTGTTAAAGCAATATTAATCCTGTTCTCATTAACATCTCAGCATCAGGATGGATACACCAGGCTACAAAAGACTAGCATGGAAATAGCTTCAAACAGCTCCCTAACAATCTCTAATGGAGAGAGTACATAAAGTTGAATTTGTGAGTATATCCCTTTAAGTACCTTTAGCTGGTCTTGGCTGGTTTGAAAAAGTTAAGCAGGGTTGGATGTGGTTAGTATTTGGAAGGGAGATCACTGGGAAATCTCAAGGTGATAGGCTAGGCTGAGAAGTTGAAAAAGCAGTTGCAAGCTTCTTCTGAAACTGGTGCCAAAAAAGTCTATGTTTGACTCGAGGGGGTATTTTCTTTTTAGTCTATGGTAGGTAACAGCACTGAGCCAGGTTTAACTGGTCTCAGAAGGGTAAGGTGGGCCTGATCTGATTAGTACTTAGTTGGGAGAATGCCAGTAAATTCCAGGGAGATAGGCTTGAGTGGGGAGTCACAACAACATCCCAGAAGGATGCTGTAGCAAAAGGATGTGTCATCGGGAGTTGAGATTTGTTTCACTGAGTTTTTAATCTTTTTCTGTCAATTCCTACGTTATTTTCTCTGGTTGAAATTAAATTTGTAAACTTCTCAGGAGTGAGACCTATCCTCCGTCTTCTTTTGAAGATGGACTGATTCCTTAAAGTTCAAGAGGTTGTGTTGGGAGGTTGTGTCTGGAATGGGAGGTATTAAAATGTGTAAAGGTTTTTCAAGGTAGCATGGTTGACCTAGCAGTCTAGACCAGTGTTCCTCAACCTTAGCAACTGTAAGAGGTCTGAACTTCAACTCCCAGAATTCCCTGGCCAGCATGCTAAAGTTGCTAAGGTTGAGAAACAGTGGTTTAGACAATCTTTTCTATAAGAATTGGCCATCTGATAGGTGATTTGCCTTTGCCTCCTCCAGTGAAGGAGACACCTTTCCCTGATGCTTGGGGCATTCTAAGTATAGCCAGTTGAAAAGATGCTTTAATGCAATAAGTGACCTACAGTTGAAAACAAACTTCCTAGGAAATGTGAGGTTACCTATCTTGATGGGTAACAATTTCACAGGACTTCAAGTAGAGAAATGCCTTCCTTTCTACTAGAGGAATTCTCTTAGTTGAACATGGGAAGTGATGGATAATTAAGTAGCCCCACCTTGGGCCAATCTCCTTTTCTGCCTAACCTATTTTATAAATTTGTCATGAGAATTAAATGGGGTCAGAGAATTATGCTTGCCATACTGGGCCATCTGGAGGAAGACTGGAATATAACTGTAATAACAATAGTAACAATAATGAAGTTTTGTAATTTCATATTGTTCTCTGACAATATCCATCTGGGATCTCCCATGGCTTATACTCTGTGATTGTATTTAGTAATAAATGAGTAAATCTGGGAAAGATTGTGAACTTGGTAAAGGGTCAGCTATTTTGCTGATAAAGCTTGTTATAAATACATCCCCTGACAAAATACCACTGTCATAACTTTTTGTAAAACTTTCCTTCCTGGTCACCTAGAGGCAAAATCAAATGCAAGTGAGTACAACTCTGGCTGATCCTCTGCGTGCAGACTTTTAAGAATAGACTCTTGATGGAGAAAGCCTTTCCAGGCTTCAGCTGGAAGTCTTTCAGCCATACTTCAATACGTCAGGGAATGAATAGAACTGTATTCTTCTGAGCTGTGGCTCTTTCCTCTTTTATAATATACCTTCCATGCTGCTGTTTGGACCTTAGCATGCCTGGTTTATGTCATAACCCAGTTCTTTTAATGGGCTTTGAAAAGTCTGCAGTTTTGTCCTTTTCTGCTGTCACACTGATTCCCAGCCTCTGATGCATTTAGAAGAGGCAGATTACTTAGTTCTAATCCAGTAAAAAGAAGCAGGGAGAAAAAGCTGATTTTTCTGTCTGTCTCTACCCGATTATATAGTTAGTGATATCTCTGGCGATCTATTGATCCAGCTGATGCAGGAGACACCTAAAATTCTGAAATGCTGCACTTGGTTAACCCAGAGTATAAAATCACAGAAGGCTCAAATTTGTATTAAAAGATGACTTCTGCTTCTTTTTTTAATAAAAAAATCAGGGTGGGGAAACATGCAGCTAAGTAAAGGAAGAAGGGTGCGAAAGAAAATACTTGCTAACTTTCCCCCCATTTTTATTTTGTATCTCAAAGTTACCCGATGCAGGCTGGTTTTTAACCGGCAGGGGGATGAGAGAACTGATGGAGAGTGAAAAAGCAACCCAAGAAGGGCAATTTGAGCAGAAAGATAAATAAAGAGAGAAACACTTCTACTTAGAAAAAAAGTACGTGGCTTAGGGCTGTTTTGCATATTGTATAAAAAAAATCTAGATAAGTCGCCTTCCCCAACCAGATGTCCTCCAGATATGATAGAATTCGTACTAGTATTATGTAGCCTAACATATCTGGAAGGCTAGACTAAAGTGTTGGGTACATAACACATCCTTAAGGAAAAAATAGGCATGATACCACATCTTAGCATGTAATATTCAACTTTGTTAAATATTGATCTCTCTAAAATAGCGTCAGTTTGGAGGAGTGTGTGATAATTGTTGGAACTGTAGGAAGCATAGAGAGGGGCTTTTCCTGAGAAAAAGCCTTCTTCTGAAGCTTCTGTTTACTTTGAAATGGGACAAATCACCAGTGAGTGCTAGTAGGATATAATGAAAATAGCACCATCCAAGGAACATACTGTACTTGTTTTCACTAGTTTGAAGCAATGATGGTAAGGGTTAAATTCCTCCTTCAGTACAGAAAATAACTTGCCCATCCCTGTAAAGCTGATGCTATAGGTCTTCAGAAAAAAAAATCCTGCACATTAAACCAAAATATTTATTTAACACCAGAACTAAGTCTCAGGAATAACAGAGAAACTAAGATGGATTTTTTTAAAATCATCCCTCTCCCCAGCCTTCTTCCCAGTTTCCTTTTACTTTCAAGACCAGCCATGATTTAACATCATAAGGAACAGTGAAGGAAGGGAATTGATCCCGATTCCATTTCCTGTTCTCTTAACATCTAACATTATACTACAAAAGGAGAGAGGAAAGGATTGGGATTTTGTCAACTTTATAGCTGGAAGGAAAACTAAATACGTGTTTTATGAGGAAGATGGAAACGCTGCACAGATTTTTCTTCCTGAAGGTGGATTGTTGAATTAAACTTTAGTTCCTTACCTCCCTCAAAGGAGTTTTAACTGAGCTTATTGATAAACCTTAGTTGATGGGTTCTCATCTAAAATATATTCTGCAGTAAAGACTATCCTTTTGGTGCTTTCTTAGAATTATAAAACTGGGTGAGCCCCTTCCATTACTAATAAAAGGAAGAACAATAAAAAAAAGTGCAGCTTTTTCTGGAATGAGAATCTAAGTAAA